GATACTTATGACTATCTTATGCTGACCACTAAATAAGCAGTCCTTTCTATGCTAATAATCATTGCAGTTTCCAGTGGGAGATGGCATGGGTGAATTACCTCCTTATAGGTGCTGGAGAGTCAATTAGCACCTAATTAGTTCCGTCCTTGCAGAGTGATACCTGTTCCTGTCTGAAATGCAAAAGCCCAATCGCAAACCCAAACACAAATAACCCTCCCCACTCCCCATCGCTGCTTTGGTAGAAATATGCTCGGGTCTGTTTCTAAATACGATCCTGTACTTGTCCAAGTGGATGGGGAAGGGGGAGAACTGTCAGCCTGCCCGTGAAAACACCAGAAACCTTTCTGAACCTTCCTTGATTTGTTGCTGTCACACGAATTACAAGCATCAGTTCCTTTATGATTTGCGCAGCTTGGTGTTAAGATACTTGTTGTTTGTAAAAGTACACTGAGGCAGTAAGGATTCACATTTCTCAGTGTTCTTGTTAGTTTCCAAGTTTTTATACCAAGAGTTATTGCATTACACGCAGGGCTGGCAGACTCGGTGTATCTTCATTGCCGATGGATGGGAACAGAAGACAAATCGTGGGTTGCTCATGTAGCGTTTTGAGGCTTCTTTTGGCTCTAATCTGCTGTTAAATCTACTGTTCTCTAGTGCTGTAGAATGATCTCCAGGTTCAGGAGCAATTTATCTTTTTCATAAATTTAGTGAAAATTAGCAAGTGTGCGGGGGAAAAAAAAACCCCACCAGAAAAAAAGAGTGTAGAAATCATTGTGCTGTTGGGGTAGTTTTACTTTTTTTGGAATTATTTAAAAAAGAAGAAATGCTGAGCAAGGATTTCTAACAGTAATTATTTTATAGAGAACTTGCTTAAAAGTTTGCTGAGAGATAGACTACTGTATTTTTCCCAGAGGCAGTTATGGACTTTGTTTCTGAATTTGCTTCCAAAAGACTATATTTTTCTTAAGGAATTTTGGTGGTTTGTAGGAAGGAAACCTGTAGTGAAACTGAAGGGATGCAGTTTTATAGGAGCGTGTGATCATGAATGCGTTTATTAAAGTTACTAGAACCCTGCAGACAGTTTTTCAGATTCTCAGAGCTCACGCACCAAATTCAGGCTAGACTTTTCTCTTCCGACATTCATTCAGAATTATTTCAATAAATCTCTGCAATTTAATGAAGACACATGGAAAATTAAATTTTAAAAAAGAAATTGAAAAACACATTGAGAGCTATTATATAATCTTATAAGGAGTCTTCCAGCAATAGAATACAGAGACAAATTCTGCGCATCCAAATATTAAATGTTTTCTGGGAGTTACACAGTAAGGTGAGCTGTGAAATATTTCAAATACTCAAAAAACCTAATTCACTGAGGAGATGCATTTGAAAACAGCGAAAGAATGTGAGTTTCCTTATATACAGATTCTGCACAGAAAAATAAGCTTTTTGCTAGTTTCTCTGTATATACATACACATTGCAGTAAAAGACCTAAATATGAAAATGATAATCAACTAAATAGTAAACATGCTGTAGTTTTATTTACCTGTAGCATGTTGAATGCACACACTTGTTTGCGTGCATTTTGACTTATCTCACATACTTTGTGTAATTGATATCAAAACTTCTGGGACAAAATAACACACAAAGGCCGTTTATCTCCAGAGAACTCGGATTGCTTTCAAAATAGGAACTGAGAGTGGATGACGCTGATGTCTGAATAAGAAAACGCGATTTTTTTGCTCAGTTCCAAAAGAAGTATCCTAGTAAAAAAATGTTGCACTGGATCAGTCTCCTTGACCCATTTAGCTCCTTTCTCTAGCAATGGCCAGCGGTGGATGCTTAAAGGAGGAGTGTAAGAAGAGAACAAAGGTATAGGCGTACTTTTCTTGGTGTAAAAAACCAGCAAACTGAGGTACTTAGTGGGCCAGAGGTTGTAGCTTTGTGTTCAACAGTCTTTCATGATGCTTTCTTCCATGAATTTCTCAAATAATTTTTTAACTCATCTGTACTTTTAGGAGCCACAACATCCACTGGCATGGAGTTCCACAGTTTAATTATGCCTTGTGTGAAAAACATACTTACTAGAAGTCACGATTAGATTGCAAATTTGAGAAATGCTGGTGTTCAGTCCAAATCTGCCATTTTCCACTGAAAAACCTTTTTTTGGAAATTACAACCTTCGTCTACTTCCAACAACCAGAATTGCTTTCAGCTACTGAATAGAAAAAACCCTTCATCAATGCGTTTGGATACTGCAAATACGGTAATCGAGCCCATGAAACAACTCGGTTTTGTTAAATCTCATAACACTGTGGATACCTTTTGAGAGCCAGTGGTGGCTCTACTTTCTATTGTTCTGTTGACTCCAAAGGAGTCAATAGCAGCGTTAGGCTTCATAAATCAGGTTTTGTAGTGGTGTCTGTGTTTACCCTCTGGGGTGTGTTCTAGGGCCTTGGCCTCCTGCTCGTCTGGAGTAAGCAACTGCTGCAATACACTGGCTCCGGCCAGGCATCGGGGTTTCCTTACTGTGAATACCGGAGGGCAAAGCTGGCTGCTGTGTGCCACGTTTCAGGCCGGTATGGGCTTGGGGTGGTACAGGGGTGTGCTGCTGGAGCCAGAGCTTTGGAAGCACCCCTGCGTTTCACAGTTCTGTAATGGTAGCTGTTTTACTCAGCGTATTTTCTGTATTTTAGAAGATAAATTTCATAATAGCTTGGATTGTGTGATGGTGGCCATTACGTATATTTCTCTCAAGACAGAGACCCTGTGGCAAGACACCCGTGATATGGTGTCTTGACACTGAGCGGTCAGTCAGGCATTACCTCAGCATGATGAAGGGCACAGCGAGTGGTGGTGTTTGAGTCTTTGAAACAGAGTTTGTGTCTCCGTGGAGATAGGCTCAAAGTCCTCCACTGAACAGATGTGCATATTGAACCGTCCAGAATGACATCAAGAGGCAGGCTTTTGGCTGAACTGTTGCACTTCATTGGCAATTTATCAATTTCCCGAGTAACTCCACTGATGACATCCAATATGTATTTAGGTAACATTTGACAGTGTTGCATAATTTTCTGGTTTTATTGGGTTCTTCTGAAGTCCCTCAGCATCCCCTCTAGATCTAACACAAAAAAGATTGTCATTCACCAGTTCTATCACCTTTTTAGTTCCTGTCTTCTTTCAGAAGTTTAATAAGCACGTTAATTCCCCCAGTTCCAACACGTTTCCTTAAAGTCATGATAGATTCTTTTTTTTTTACCATATTGAGCTGCAGCTGTTAGTATTTTTGGATTTCTTCTCTGAAACGTTTTCTGTTCCACGAAAGAACACAACCTGTCCCCTCTTGACTGTTTTAACCGTGGACAAAGTACATTCAAAAGACAATAAAAGGCTTTTCTGAAGTCCAGATGAATAACTGAACTGCTGATTATCCTTAATCCAGTGTATTGTCAACTCCTGCAAAGAATGCTGTTTATTTGGTTATTATGATTATTCCTAACAGATGACAAGCTGCTTGGTTCTTGTGATAGGGTATTCATTAGCGTAGTTTAGAACTTTATTTTCTTCCAGCTAGTTTGCCTGCTAAAGAGAAAACCTGCTGACGTGTGATTCACGGTATTGCTGCTAGATACATCTTTAGAGAGCGTAGCAGGAGATAATCCTCTAGTACTCTTGGCTGGTTATACAATTTAAAATTACCACACAGTTGGTATCTGGATTCCCCAAGGTGCTGACGTTAGATCCCCTATAACTGCACAAGGGCTGTAGAGCACATTTGCGCTGCAGTGCAGGGACGATGGCAGGTTGTAGAGGTATCTGCGAGCCTGCTAATGCAGCCCCAGCCCAGGGGCTGACAGCAGTGTAGCTCACGCTGGAAAGCTGCAAAACCGTTCTTCTAGGACTGTAAGTAAGTATGTGGCGGCTGTGTCCTGTACAGCTGCAAATGTAATGCTAGACTTGGGTTTGTTTACATAGGCTACACCTTTCCCGTAGATGGGGACGTTACTTGTTCGGTGTAGTAGTCGATAGAATCATTAAGGTTGGAAGAGACCTCCAAGATCATCGAGTCCAACCGTCAACCCAACACCACCATGCCCACTAAACCATGTCCCTAAGCGCCTCATCTACATGTCTTTTAAATACTTCCAGGGATGGGGACTCAACCACTTCCCTGGGCAGCCTGCTCCAATGTTTAACCACTCTTTCAGTAAATACATTTTTCCTCACGTCCAATCATGCACCCATTTGTCAAATAGTTGCTTCAGAGTAGTACTGCGAGAGAAGACATCTGTGGGAACGATACGTCTCTGAAAAGGTTTCTTTCCTGAACAGTGGAAATACTCACTGGAACTATATTTTGTTTGTGTTCTTATCAGAGCTGTAGAAATGTCCAAAAAACCTTTCTGTTAAGGAACTAAAACTTTAGCTGAATTTTGCCATAAATCTTTGGGTAAAGTAAAAAAAGGCAAACAAACAGTAGAAAATTTTTGTGAGAAACACATCTGAAATCACA